CTCCTCCTCCTCCTCCTCCTCCTCCACCACCTTTTCCTCCTTTTCCTCGCCTTTATGATCCTCCTCGGTCGGTCTGTCGGTCGGTGGATGAGGGCAGAGTTTGGAAGCCCTGCGTACTACGCGTGAGACGGGGCAAACATGGGACGGAGGCCAGCATGCAGCAGCAAGTGAGCCGACGCTGGGCGGTGCTGCCCTTCCGAGGATCGGCAGTCTCTGAGGTCGCACGCGCCTGGCCATCGGCCACGAGAATACACCAGAATTATCTGTGCCAGCGGTGTGCTGCCTGCTGTCCTTATTTCGGTGACGAGCCCGGGGGGCAAGTGAAAAGAGGCGGGCTGGAAGCCCCCTACCCTTCTGAGAAGTTTTCGAAGTCTTTCCCGAAGACGCCGAAGGCTTCTCAGAAGGCGCGAGGGCCTCTGAGGAGCCCCGCCGTCTTCTGAGAAGGCCTTCCCGTCCTCGCTTCCCCCCCTCGCTCGCCGCCGATCCTCCCCTTCTCCCTGGGGGTCCCCACGCTTGAGGCGTCGTGGGCTTCTTGGGCACTATGCGGGGACTCAGGGGAGAGAGGAGAGTAGTATTCATATTGCGTATTTGTATAGGCGGCAAGGAGGAGCAGCAGGAGGAGGAGGAGGAGGCGGAGGAGGAGGAGGAGGAGGAGGAGGAGGAGGAGGAGGAGAAGGAGGAAGGAGGAGGAGGAGAGGAGGAGGAGGGAGGAGGAGGCGGAGGAGGATGATGATGATGATGATGGAGGAGGAGGAGGATGCGGAGGAGGAGGAGGCAGGAGAGGAGGAGGAGGAGGAGGAGGAGGAGGAGGAGGAGGAGGAGGAGGAGGAGGAGGAGGAGGAGGAGGAGTAGGAGGTAGGCGGTTTGCGAGCTGTTTTGGGGGCCTGGCGGAACCTCTTGCAGGCAGTCTTGAAGTGTCTGGGGGGTCGTCCGGGGGCTCTCTTGGGCCTGTTGGGGGCCTCTGGGGGCTTCTTGGGGGCCTTTGCTGTCCTTCTTCTCGTCCTTCTCCCCCTCCTCCTCCTCCTCCTCCTCCTCCTCCTCCTTCTCTGCGCTCCTCCTCCTCCTCCTCCTCCTCCTCCTCCGCGTCCTCCTCCGCCTCCTTCTCCTCCTCACCTCCTCTTCGTGCTAGCACTGTCCTCACCTTCCCCCTGGGGGTCCCCACCAAGCTCGGCTCTAACCTAGTTCCCGGACATTCTGCCCGGGCCCGTCTTGGCCGTTGTGTCTTCCTGGAGCGTTTTTTTTTCCACGGTGCCGAGCCCCGACGCGGCCTCCCAGGTGCCAGAATTCTAGGCCTCTTAGATGGGGTCCGAGTAGATGGGGTCGACAGATTGCTCCGCATCGCCGATGTGGCTCGATGTGGAGCCCGATTTTCTCCACGCTGGCGCGTCGCCGATGCATCGCCGATGCCGCCGACCGATACATCGCCGATGCATCGGCGATGTATCGCCGATGTGCCGGCGATGCGGCGCGATCCCCCGATCACATCTGTTCCGGCCCCAGCTAGGAGGCCTCCAAAGATTGAGGTGAAGCTTCCGGCGATGCTTGCTTCGATGCCGCTTCGCCCTGTGCCCCGGGGGGAAGCGGGTCCCGACGAGGGAGACGGGCCCCGAGGTTTCTCGCAGTCTGCAGGCTTTCGGGGCCTTCCACGGGCCCCAGGGACTGCCAGCAAACGATTCAGGATGCCAGACTCGTCCTGGGGGAAGGAACCAGGGTCCAGGACCAGTTTCCCTCGGGACCCGTTTCCCCATGCTGGCCTCCGCTACTGTACCTCCTCCTCTTCCTCCTCCTCGTCCTCCTCACCCCTCCGACGATGAAGAAAAGCCGCGCCGGCGAGGTGCTGAAGCTCGATCCAGAGAGCGCCAAGGGCCTCTACAGGCGCGGCCTCGCGCACGACGCCCTCGGGAACGTCAAGGCGGACGGCCACCTCTTGCCTCTTCCTTCCTCACGGAAAAGGGAGGCAGGAGGAGGAAGGCGACAACTGCGATGAAGAGGGAGGAGACGGAAGAGGAGGAGGAGGAGGAGGAGGAGGAGGAGGAGGAGGAGGAGGAGGAGGAGGAGGTGGAGGTGGAAGAGGACGAGGAGGAGGAGGAGGAGGATGGATGAGGAAATGGGAGGAGGAGGAGGGGGAGGAGGAGGACGAGGAGGAGGAAGTGGAGGAGGAGGGGGACGGATGAGGATATAGGAGGAGGAGGCGGAGGAGGAGGAGGAGGCGGAGGAATAGGAGGGTGGATGATGAGGAGGAGCATGAAGACCGAATATGAGGAGGCCAAAGTACGATATGGAAGAGGAGGGATATTGAGAAGGCGGGGGGGTGGGACGGCAGAGGTTCGCATTATGAGCCCTTGTGTCCGTCTTTTTATCCCTCTCCTCTCCCCTTGCTCGCTCGCCCGCTCTCTCTCTCTCTCTCTCTTTTTTTTTTTTTTTTTTTTTTTTTTTTTCTCTCTCTCTCTCTCTCTCTCTCTCCGTTCACACAACATGAATACTCTCTTCTCCCTCGACCGAATACGTGCTGAGAGTGTTCGCCCCACCTCCGCGTCTTGTTATCTTTCTCAGGATTTGAGTGAGCTGGCTTTTCATATTGTTTTTTACCATCCGATTTTTCATTTTTTAACACTGGTGCTCTCGCTGCAGCCTGGGCCCCATTTTCGGATCGGCGCTTTGCTCCAGTTGTTCAGACGGGCGCTCCCGCCCCAGCGAGGGCCACTGTTCTGGATCCCGCAGGGCGCGCAGGTCTCGCAGGCTCAGGTCCCACAGGTCCCACAGTTCCCACAGGACCCGCACTTGTCGAAGGTCGTCCCACAGGTCCCACAGGTCCCACAGGTCCCACAGGTACCACCGGTCTGACAGGTTCCACAGCTCCCACAGGTCCCACAGGTGTCGCAGGTCTCGCATGTCCCACAGGTCCCACAGGTTCGACAGGTCCATGAAGTCACACAGGTCCCAGAGGTGTCGCTTGTTTCACAGGCCCCACAGGTACCCCAGGTCCCACAGGTCCCGCAGGTCCCGACGGTGCCGCGGGTCCCAAAGGTCTCGCAGGTCTCACAGGTCCCACAGTTCCTTCAGGTCCCACATGTCTCACAGGTTCCACAGGTCCTTCAGGTGTCGCAGGTCCCACATGCCCCACAGGCCACAGAGGTCCCCCAGATCATACAGGTTTCACAAGTTTCCCTTTTCCGAATCCGCATAAAACGATGGGGTCTCTTGTGGAGTTCCATGTCTGTTACGCGCGTCCGCGGATAGAGAACTATTCAGCGCAATGGGAAGAGGTGAGAGGGAGGGATATGATGTCAGATATGGCGCGATTGCATCTAGCTTGTCCCCTTCGTTTTTTTTTTTTTTTTTTTTTTTTTTGTTCTCTCTCTCTCTCTCTCTTTCTTCATCCCTCTCTCTTTTGTTTCTCCCCCCTGGCGGTCGTTTGGAGCCGAGCATTCTTTTGTGTGGCGAGCTCGACTATACGCTCTCCGTGCCGCAAGTGTCGTGGTGCTGGGTGTTTTCCTGCTGTGGCGACAACATGGTCTACGCCCCGCCACTGTAGCAGCCCAGCTGGTCCCCGAGGAACTCGCGCGCCTCGGCCTATCCGTTAAACTCCAGAACGCAGGTCTGGGCAGCAGACTGGCCAGAATTCGGGACAGCCAAAACGCCAGCGGAGTGCGCCTTGGCTCTTCTGATGAGGGGTCCGAGCACAGCGTCGCCAAGCCAACGAGCGAAGCGAATGTTGCGCGCTCAGAGGCCCGTTACGGTATGTTCGCGTCGTGTCGACCCGCGGCGACCCCCGCCGCTGGCGTTCAACGTTGACCGCCGCCGGCGACGCAGAATCGGTCGATGTGAGACGAGCTGGCGTTTCGGAAGCGGCCGATCGTTTCAGGTCGGACGATCCCGAACCCTGGTCCCCAACATCCCCTCGCGTTGTGCAGAAGTCATGACGCGAGGAGGAGGAGGAGGAGAGGAGGAGGAGGAGGAGGAGGAGGAGGAGGAGGAGGAGGAGAGGAGGAGGAGGAGGAGTGGAGAGGAGGAGGAGGAGGAGGAGGAGGAGGAGGAGAGGAGGAGGAGGAGGAGGAGGAGGAGGAATGAGGAGGAGGAGGAGGAGGAGGAGGAGGAGGAGGAGGAGGAGGAGGAGCAGGAGGATCCCCGCGGTGTCAAGAGCCAACACCGAGGTCGGCACGACACGGGCCTGCCGCAGCGGCGCCCACGCCGCGGGGGGGGGGCAGTGTCCGCGGCGGCCGCTCCCGCGGATGCTCTCGCCAGTGCAGGCCGGGGCGCCCTTCGGCTGCCAGACCGCCGTGGTGGCGGCTGGGCCGCCTCGGTCGCCGCGCGGGCTCGGGTTTCGCCGCGCTCTGCTGCGAGCAGGTTCGAGGTTCTGTGTTCGGGAAGAAAATACATCGATGCTGTGCCTGTGGGGGTTTGCCCCCCCCCCCCCCCCCCCTGGAGGCGCCGACGACAACGTAGGTATCCTGCGTCAATGACGGTTCGGGACAAGGGTGTGTGTTCAGCTACAGCAGCGTCGACGGCTTCGCCCACGCCGTCACCGACGGCCTCACCGTCACCTGCTCCCACCGACAGCTCTACCAACGGCCAGTCCGTCGGCATCGCCCACGGCATCGCCTGCAGCAGCGCCGTCGGCTTCGCCTACGCCGTCACCGACGGCCTCCCGACACCTGCTTCCGCAGCTTCACCGACAGCTACACCAGCGGCTGCCCTGACGGCATCGCCCACGACATCGCCTGCAGCAGCGCCGACGGCTTCGCCTACGCCGTCGCCGACGGCCTCACCGCCACCTACTCCCACAGCTTCACCGTCAGCTGCACCAACGGCTGCCCCGTCGGCAGCACCCACAGCAGCACCCACGGCAGACCCTTCGGCTGCGCCTACCGCGTCACCGACGGCCGCACCGACTGCTGCTCCTACAGCAGCGCCCACAGCAGCCCCCACTGCCGCACCGGCAGCTGCCCCTACTACTGCGCCCACGGCCTCGCCCACCGTTTCCCCGACAGCTGCACCAACGGCTGCTCCGACGGCAGCGCCCGCTGCGTCGCCGACAGCCGCACCGACGGCTTCGCCTGCGGCGTCGCCGGCCGCCGCACCGACTGCAGCACCAGCAGCAGCCCCCACGGCCTCCCCGACACCGTCGCCTACGGCCGCTCCCACACCTGCCCCCACTGCTGCGCCTACGGCCTCGCCAACAGCTTCACCGACAGCTGCCCCACGGCTGCTCCGACAGCATCGCCCACGGCATCGCCTTCAGCAGCGCCGACGGCTCCGCCTACGCCGTCACCGACGGTCACCGTCACCTGCTCCCACCGCTTCACCGACAGCTGCACCACCGGCTGCTCCGACGGCATCGCCCACGGCTTCGCCTACTGCAGTGCCGTCGGCTTCGCCTACGCCGTCACCGACGGTCACCGTCACCTGCTCCCACAGCATCACCGACAGCTGCACCAACGGCTGCTCCGACGGCATCGCCCACGGCATCGCCTACATCAGCGCCGTCAGCTTCGCCTACGCCGTCACCGACGGCCTCTGGCGCCTGCGCCTACAGCTGCCCCTACGTCCTCGCTCACAGCTTCTCCGACATCTGCACCAACGGCCGCTCCGACATCTTCGCCCACGGCATCGCCTACCAGAGGCGCCGCTACTCCTGCGGCACGTCGCTGTCTTCGGCCTCAGCCTTGCCAGTACTTGCGATCGTGAGTCGCCCCTCCGCTCTCCCTCGCTTGCGGCCCTCGCCGCCCCCACCCTTTTGCCCCGCACTCCCCCGTGCGCTTCACCAAATACTTGCGACCGTTCGTCGCCTCTGCGTCCGCCCCCGCCGCGGCTCTCGCCCCCCCCCCTCGCGGACGCCCGCGCTCCTGCCGGCCTCCCGCGCTCGAAGCGCCTCGCCCTCGGGCTCCTCCCCCCCGCCCCTGCCTGCTGGTCCCCTCGCCTGCCCTCCCCGCGGCCCCCCCCCCCGGGGCCGCCTTGGCCTCGCGCCCAATACCGCCAGGCGCGTGCCCCAGCTGGGGCGGTCGGCTCGCGCCTTGCCTCCCAGTGCGCCCGTGTCGCTGCTACAGTTTGTGGCTTTCCGCCCCCTGGCGCCGGGCCACCCCCCCTGCCCCGCGCCCAGCGTGGGCTGCTCGGGGCCCCCTCGACGCTCTGCCCCCGCCACCGGCTCCGGGGTCCCAGACGCGTCGGAGGCGTTGCACTGCCGTGGCCTGCTTCCCCACGGCGCCCCCGCCCAGCGGCCTGTGCTCCGCACAGAGGCGCCGCCTGGGCTCCACCTTCCGCTGCACGGCCGGCGCGGGCCGTCACTTTCGGTCGTCCGCCCGCCCTCTGCTGCCCCCTCCGCCTCGGCCTCTCCGCCCCCTGCGGCCTGCTGCAATCCCTCACTGGCTTGGGCCGCTGACCTCTCGGTCGCCCCCCACCGTGCGGGTTGTCTCCCCGACGGTCCCCAAGCGGGATCCAGCACGCTCGCGGCTGGGCGCTTCCATGGCGCGCTCCGGTGCCTTCGGTCGATTGGATCGGTCCTTACCCGGTGCGCGAGCGCCCGCCCGCTCTCCCCGCGTCGCGGCACGCGGACTCGACATCAGTCCGCGACGGTGTCTGGCGATCGGGACCCTGGTCTGTTGAGCGCCTGCACGTGAGTTGGTCGACGCCTGGTGGTGCGTGTGATACGCCCGCTACCGTGCGACGAAGCGACCGTTGGTCCTGGCGCCTGCTCCTCGTGGTGCGTCTACGAGCCCGTGGTCACTGACTTCCATCACGCTCGCGGTGTCATTTTGGCGTTGCACTCCGCTTGGCGGCGTCACCCCCCAGTCGACGGCGTTGTCTTCTGAGCGGCAGCGAGGCTGCCTCCTGTTTGTTCCTCCCTCCGCTGTCCTCTCGTTTCCTCTCCTCCCCCCTGTTGCGCAGTTCGTGCGTAGCCCGCTCGCTACGACTCTTGGACGGTCTC